TACTCACCATCAAATTGGTATTAACTGATCAACACATAAGTGCACAAAAAAGAATAACATCTATTGGATATTGGGCAGTGGGGAGGGGGGAGGAGGGGACAGGTATACGCATACACAAAGAGTGTGATGCGCACCATCTGGAGGGACGGATGCACTTGAAACTCGGACTTGGGAGGGGGAGGGGGGCAAGGGTAACATACATAACCTAAACATCTGTATCCCCATAATATCCTGAAATAAAAAAAAGAACCCCTGCTGTACACTCACACTTAAAATTCCTTATTCCCTAGTCCCATCCAGAAGTTTTATAGCATTATACATGTAGAAAACATGCCTACAGTGCAAAAGGAAACTCAGTTAATTCCTGGGAAGGATCATTACAACAACAATAAAATTAAACAAAAGACAATAAACACTTGGTAATTATCAAAGTGTCATTTGCCTAGAAGCACCTCTGAATCAAGAGCCTCCAGTTAGTTGGTATCCTTTCTCTCCAGAGCTATTCAGGAGCATTCAAATACTGAATGCCAACAACAGAAAGCAAGAACCTCTCTATATGCAGACTCCTGGCCTCTTTGATGTCAATGATAATACACTCATACAGCAAAAAGGTCAATATTTAAAATTACATACCAGTCTCAACATGGAGAGCCTACTCAGGCTCTCCAACATACATACACATGCACACCCTATACTTCTTTTCTTTCCTCTGTATTATCCTCACAATATTTAGCACAGAGACCACTTACATCTGGAACTGCCATCATTTTCTGGGTGACGATGTTGTCCAGAATGAAAGAAAATGCCACTTGGTCATCATCATCCAGCAAGGGGTTGATAGCTTTCTCTAAGCGAGCCAATTTGTCTTCCTTCTGAAATGAAACAAACCAAAGCCAAGACAGAGGTTTCCCTGAAGTATGATCACTATAGAAAAGTTAAGATATAATTTAAGGTTCAGCTAAGCTGTCTATTACCTTTGCCCAAAAAAGTTTAAGTCTCAATTGTCTACTATACAGTTCCAGGTAAAAAGTCCAGATAAATGATATTCCAAAAAAAGGGACAAAAATGACATGCCAACAACTTCCTTAGGTATTCTACATTCTATTTTTTTTTTTTTAAAGAGACATGATTTCCCTCTGTTTCCTAGGCGGTAGCACAACAGTGTGATCACAGCTTAATGCAACCTCAAACTCCTGGGCTCAACCAACTCTCCCACCTCAGCCTCTCAAATAGCTGGGACTACAGGCATGCGCCACCATGCCCGGCTAATTTTCTCTATGTATTTTTAGCTGTCCAAGTAATTTCTTTCGACTTTTTGTTAGAGACAGGGTCTTGCTCTTGCTCACGCTGGTCTCGAACTCCTGAGCTCAAACGATCCACCTGCCTCGGCCTCCCAGTGTGCTAGGATTACAGGTGTGAGCCACCGAGCCCGGCCTGAACATTACTGTTGATTAGTGACTTTTGTATAAGGGGACCTAACCCAATAAATTCATTTCAGACTCTATAGTAGGAAAAAGTTTATGTTCCCATTGTTCCACATCCTCATCAACACTTAGTACTGTCAGTCTTTTTAACATTAGCCTTTATGGTGAGTATGTAGTGGTATCCAATAGTGATTTAAATTTGCATCTCCCTAATGATTACTCAAGTTGAGAATCTTTTCATGTTTATTGGCCATTTATTTAGTTATTCTCTTTTGTGAAATGTCTACTTCAATATAAACCTCATCATTATAATTGTACTTTTGTAAGTAAGCTTATAAGGTGCCACAATTATTTTCGGTAAGAAGATGGACTATAAATTATCATTTAAAAATTAGAATTGCTCCCTGCCAAAACATTGGCTAGTCTCTTAGCTACTGCTGATTTCCTGAGAAGTCACTTTCCTTTGCCCTTTCTAAAGATTTATGTAGGTTCTGGATCTTAATCCTAACTTTACTATTTAATAGTCATGATGCCCAGAGCAAGTATTTTCTTCTATGGACTTAGTTTTTCCATCTACAAAAGGGACTGGCCTATATGAGTTCTAAAGTCCCTTCTAGCCTTTACATACTTAAGATCTGCTACTCCCACATATACTCTTTCTTCTGTTAAATTCCCTACTTCCTAAACCCTGCTATCCCCCAATTTCAAATTCCACTGCCTTTCTCTCATTCTAAATGTCTTACCTCTTTGAGTTTTTCATCACAGAGATCCAGCATGGATTGAGAGATCTGGGTCAACGAGTGCTTTGGCCCTACAGAGGAACAGTAAGACATGGGACCATTAAAAATGTGAGTGAAGATCTGTCAAGGCTTCCTTATCCTTTTAACACATTTACTTAAGAACCTAATATTATGCCATGCACCAGCGTAACTGCTGGGTTAGATACATACACTAGACTTGAGGCTGGGTGCAGTGGCTCACGCCTGTAATCCTAACACTTTGGGAGGCCGAGGCAGGAGGACTGCTTAAGGCCAGGAGTTCAAGACATGCTAAACTTATCTCCATTTTTCAGTGCCAAACATATAGCAGGTATATAATATGACTATATGAACTAATTTTAACTTTTTGAGACAGGGTCTTGCTCTGTCAGCTGGGTTTAAGTGCAGTGGTGTGATTATAGCCTCACTGCAACCTCAAACTCCTGGGCTCAAGTGATCCTCCCACCTCAGCCTCCCGAGTAGCTGGGACTATAGGCGTGCTGCCACACCTGGCTGATTTTTTTTGCCACCACGCCTGGCCTTAACTCTTTTCTTCATTTGTGTGTATCCATGCATGATAATAGTACTGTTGCCTTTAATATCTTGCAAATGATACTATGGATGGGGAATAAGAATTTGAGGATGGATGAAAAGATTCAATGGATAATTTATAATTTTTCCATGCGAGGCATATGCAATTTTTAATTGTGGATCCAGCAATTAGGACGTTTCTGGTACTTCAACAGAAGGCAAGTGCAGGGTTGTGAGGTGTGAATGGGAACTGAAAAAGCAGAAGAGTGGCCAGGTGCGGTGGCTCATGCCTATAATCCCAGCACTTTGGGAGGCCAAGGCAGGAGGACTGTTTGAGGTCAGGAGTTTGAGACCAGCCTGAGCAAGAGTGAGATCCCATCTCTACAAAAAATAGACAAATTAGCTGGACATGGTGAGGCACGCCTATAGTCCCAGCTACTTGGGAGGCTGAGATAAGATGATTGCTTAAGCCTAGGAATTTGAGGTTGCAGTGAGATATGATGATGCCACTGTACTCTAGCTAGGGTGAGAGAGTGACCCTATCTCAAACAAACAAACAAAAAAAAGCAGAGAAGAGTATATGGAGCATGGTGGTTAAGAGCACAGGTTCCAGAGTTAGATATACCCAGATCAACATCTCTACTTTGCAACACCACAGGCCTGTACACGTTCACCTGGAAAATCAGGATTATAATAGTACCCATTTCAAAGATTTCTTACAGTGAAATAAAATTATACGAGTAAAGCACTTGGTATCACTAGTGGTATTACTACTACTGCTATTATCAGCATTTGAGAGTGAGGAAGACAGAAGAGTCAACTAGAGGGAGTATGCAAAGCAGGGATAAAGTTATGATTTTTAAAATTCCAATTTTTTTTTTTTTTTACTAACATCTCCACCTCAATGACCCATAGGTATCTCAAGTCCTGTATCTTCAAAATTAACTCATACCTTCCCACCCCCTTCCAATCCGATTTTTGTTTAAGTAATTATCCTTGTAACCTGAATGACAGTTGGGCCTAACAGATTTATTTTTCCCTTGTATATATGTGGCACTCTGCTAGGCCCTGGGAATATAACCACAAATAAGACACAGTTTCTCTAGAATGTCACAAAGTGGTGGGAGAGTCAGATATATAATTATGGTGTAACAATAAGAGCTGTAAAAGTTGACTTAATTGTGCGGGGGGGGGCACAGAGGATAGAAAAATGGATATTTTAGGCAATTTGGATAAATCTTTATGAGGAGATGGTATGAGTTGGTCTGGAAATACAAATGGAAATTTACCGCTGAATGGAAGAAAGGCCATTCCAGAGAGAGAGAGAACAAAGACTGTGCAAAGGCATGAAAAAATGGCATGGGATATTTAGTGAAATATAATGGTGAGTGTGGCAGGAGGTGATAGTGGGTATGGGAGCCAGTCACTGAAAATGGAGGAAGCCATGAGAAGCTAAATAACTTGTTTATGGTAACTCAATTAGTAAGTGACAGAGCCATGTTGCACACTTTATCTGTCTGTACTCTGAACTCCTCTACTTATACATGAATCTGTGCTCAAGGATGCAACTAGAAACCAGAAAATCTTTTTCTTTACATGCAGAAATTGTATTGTTTCCTCCCTTTTAAACAGATTTCTTCCTCCTTGCCTTCCCAGCTTTTAAGCAAAGTAGACATACTTTAGGCCCCTCTAACAAATCTGTAGACCAAATCAAAGATTAACATATAGCAAATACGGTCACAAGCACATACCGTGCATAGGTTCCATCCACACTGAATGCCTTTCTCTTCTATTAACCTAGGCCCACTTCTTCCTCCCACTACTCCACATGTAACTGTTTCATTTTAACAGATAGACTCCAAATTCTCCAGAGGATATAAGAATAAAATAGTGGGAATAAAAAGCAATAGTATTTATTAAATAACTGAAAATATACATTACCTGATTTTCACACCCCCAAATACACTAATAAACTGTAGTCTTTTCAGCTAGTCTAGTCTGAATTTAGGACTAGTAAGGGATAAATAAGGAACTGAAAGGTGATCTTTACAGTCAAGAACAGGTGATTCTTACCATTGTAGGTTGCACTATTTTTCACAATTAGCTCCAAATGCTCTCTGAACTCTTCCCGAGATGGGTAGAGGCGTTTACGCACATTTTCACGAAGTGTTTGTAGGTCCATTGGTCGAGTGATGATTTTGTAGTAGTCTTTTACAACCTTTGCATTGACTGGAGTGTGGAAAGGGTATGTCTGTGCAAACAAGAGCCAGCGCGATCCATGAGCAAAGAACACTTGAGCCAGTTCCTGAAGACTCTCACATCTTACCTGTCTACCTGGCCATCAACTCTCAAAGGAATCTTTCTAGATGGAGCAGGTCTGTTTCCTCTACTAAACTGTTAAAAAAAAAAATCAAAAAACTACATCCCAAAGAATTAGGAGTTCCAGGTACCTAGTCTATACACTACTGCCCTATATCTGAAATCACAAACAGAACAAAGAGCCTTGCCACCCCTACAGTAGGCATCCAATGCAATGAACTCACATTTGGAAGATCTCTCATGTCATTGATGATAGACTCCAAGATGGATGACAATGTCACCATAGGGTCTGTCCGGCGCCGGTGGATAGACTTATGAGGTCTCTACGGAGAAACAAGAAATTAGAATGCTTCTTTAAACCAAAAAACCCCACATTCTCTAATCAGGCAAATATATTTTAGAAATCTTTTAATAAATAGTACACATAATTCTTAGGGCAAGGCCAATGGGAGAATCTAAGGCTGTTGAACCCATGGCATAGAAGGCTGGGGGAAATCAATGAGAACTCATCTAATCAGAAGGAAGCAATACAGATACTCACATTCAAATAGTCACAATGAACAGTGGTTCCAACTCGCCGTTTCTTCTTGGGAGGAAGTTGCTGTTTAGGGAACTTGAGAACCAGAGATTTTCTTCGAACCTCATCTGCACTGCAATCAATAACACTTTCATAGCATACAGTCCCTGTTTCTAGTTCCCGGAAAAAAAAAATGCAACTACAATGAAAAAGTCCAAAGTACCTGAGCATGAGCCTGGGGAGGAAAAAGCCAAACCAAAGGCCAGACATCCACGTTCTAAGGCTAAGATCAGGAAAGGTCTCATAGGATCTCCAAATTAATAAAGAACTAGGCAAGTCACAACTTCACCTCAGTTTCCTATTTGGAAGATAAGGGAACTAGGCTAAAGGAATTTTAAGAATCCTTCCAGTTTTAACATTCTGTTTTAGGGTTAAAGGGCTAGGAAACCTAACTCATTCATCAGAATGGAAACAAGAAATTAAAAACTGATTCGGGAAAAAAAAAAACTAGTTTGGGTTTTCCCTTAATCATTAAGCCCATACACCTTCTTCCCTTCCATTGTAAGGGATCAAGATACCACATTTGCCTTTTCCAATGTGCTTCAAAACATAACAACCATTATAGATATTGATAAATTAAATCAACCAGGATAGAAAAAAGAACCTCAAACAATATACAAACAGAAATAAGTGAATCTGACTATATCAAATTGATTTTAAAAATTATACCCAAATTAATCCAAATATTTTTTGAATACCCTGACTGTACAACTTCAGTGGCATGTATTCCAAGGATAAAAAACTACAAAAAACATCTTGAACCTACTTTATAGGTTTATTGTTGGTTAGTGGTATTAGTATAGTAATTCTGAAACTCTTTCGTACATACCATAGGACAGAGCCAATGAATAAATAAATATATTGATGTTGGAAATCAATATTGAAAAATTTATTTACTGAAAAAGGATACAAATATGAAATGGGAAAAGATGAGAAAGAATCTATAGGTACAATCTGGATTAGAGGTACCAGTACAAAGTTGTGATTTAAAATATATGTATATTTACTAGTTTTGTCCACGAAAGAGCATAGAAGCAATGACATCTCAATGGCCATGAGCATATGTAACACATAGATCTTGGTTTCTAAATACTATTCCCTAATAAAAGGAACCTGGGCTCTTTGGAGAAATGGTCGATTGTAGGTCTAAGACAGGAAAAGTTCAAAGAGAGCCTGTGACATCTTGTGTCAGAAAGCAAAGATGGGCCGGGCGCGGTGGCTCACGCCTGTAATCCTAGCACTCTGGGAGGCCGAGGTGGGAGGATCGCTTGAGGTCAGGAGTTCGAGACCAGCCTGAGCAAGAGCGAGACCCTGTCTCCACTAAAAAATGGAAAGAAATTAGCCAGACAACTAAAATTATATAGAAAAAATCAGCCGGGCATGGTGGCGCATGCCTATAGTCCCAGCTACTTGGGAGGCTGAGGCAGAAGGATTGCTTGAGCCCAGGAGTTTGAGGTTGCTGTGAGCTAGGCTGACACCATGGCACTCTAGCCCGGGCAACAAAGCCAGACTCTGTCTTCAAAAAAAAAAAAAAAAAAAAAAGAAAAGAAAGCAAAGATTTATAGACATTTCAAAAGGGCACGAGATCTGGCTTAAAGGAGTCGAATTTGGGATACTATCTATGCATCTAAATTAATGATGTTAAAGAATTATAAAACATTTCATTTGCAAAGGAAACAATTTTAGAATCCATAGTAATACTTTAAAAGGGAGAGGAGAAAGCTCTTCTTTATAGAAAAATGCTAGCTAATGTAGAAGGAATGCTAGAATTAGAAAAATCGCCATTTTAGAACCCCCCCCATGCTGAAATAACTGAATCAGGTAATGATCATCAATTGATGCTAAGACCACTGAAAGACTGTTAGGGAATAGGATATTCACTCACATGTTTATTACAAAGGGAAAAACATACCTTTATTATAGGGTCTGGGGACCACCCCCCTTTAACACGATGATCAAAATAGTGGGAAAACTTGACATGAGCTTTCTTGTGTGGTACAGTAAGTATATAGTATCACCTATATAGGATATTAAATATTTTGCTAAAGACATTTAATCTGAACCTAGTCAACAAGAAAACAGACAAATCCAGAATATGGAATATTTTGAAACAATTGGCCTGAACTCTTCAAAAAATTCAATGTCATGAATAACATAAAAGGCAGGGAGGACCATTCTAGATTAAGAGAGACTCAAAATATATTTAATGTTTGAACTAGGATTAGATCCAGAATTGGGAAGGGGAGCAATAAAGGATATTGAGATAATGGGAAATTTGAATGAGGTCTGAGTATTACACATTACTATTAACTAATGTTAACTTTCTTAGGTGTGATAATATCATGCTGTTATATTCTTATTCTTAGGAGATGTGTGCTAAAGAATTTAGGAGTGAAATGTCATGATGCCTGTAACTAACTTACTTCCAAATGGTTCAGTGAAAAAATAATAGGCATACAAATATGAAGCAAATGTGGCGAAACGTTAACAATTGCTGAATTTAGAGGAATAGTATATTGTATTCTTTCAACTTTTCTGTATGTTTGCAATTTACAAAGTAAAGAGTTAGGAGAAAAAATTTCAAAACTTCTCCATTTTATTATCTATTAAATTCTCTGAGGGCAAAATATAGGTATATGCATAGTTTATATGTCTCCTCAATCTTTTTACATGGTCCATTATCAGAACACTCTGAGATTAGGGACTTCGCAAATATTATGAGTGCCTGGAACTAGAATAGGAAAAGAGAATCAACATCTACTGAGCATCTATTATATGTCAGGTACTGTACTATATGCTTCATAGTCTCTCTCATTTTATCTTCTTAACTACCTTGGTAAGGGTGGTTTTATTTTATAACTAAGGAAACTTGAGACTCAAAAAAATTAGGTAGCATGCCCAGGAGCAAGTGGTGGAACCTAATGAGTGGTGCAATTTTCATTACTGGTAATAATTACTGAGGAAAATTAATCAAAATCCCTGTACCCTCAGTTCCAATTCAGAGAACATATCACATCCACCCCTGCCACCCGCCAACATCACTGAACTCCAACAGATCTGTCTCATAGTACTTCCTGCCTACTATCCCTTACCTCTCAATTAACTGTTTCCCCAAGACAATCTTGGTCCCTTCAACCTTGATAAGTTCTTCATTATCATTATGAATGACTGTCTTTTCCAACTCCTCCTCTTGCTCCTCTGTCATGGCAACAGGGTTGGAAGGCGGAGCATTTGTTTGATAATAGAGGGGGCAAAATTTGTTTGTCCTCATGTGCCCAATGGCACCACATGCACCACATTTCAGCTGCAAAGGAAAAGTATCAAAGTGTCAGAGGTAAGCAGATAAGAAGTACCGTCGTCCCTCAGTATTCACAGGGGACTGGTTTCATTCAGGACCTCCTGAGTATACCAAAACCCATGCATACTCAAGTCCTGCAGTTGGCCCTGTAGAACCTGAGCATACAAAAAGTGAGCCCTCTGTATATATGGATTCCACATCCCATGATTCGTGCCTGTAAGTCAACCTATACAGTTCAAACCCATGTTGTTCAAGGGTCAACTGTATGTATAAGGGAGGGGAGAAACAAGAGCAGCTTCAGAACTTTTGCTCTAATAGAATTGTTATGTACCTATCAACCAGAACCCCCTAGACAAAAGTGCATGTATGGAAATGACACGTGAAAAATAAAATGGAATCCAGGGACTCAATATTGCTTTAAAAATCAAAAAAAGAGGATACCACTCCCAATTTAAGTTGTGAATTACAAAAATATTAAATATGCAAGAGAAATATTGCTGGAAGCCCAAGCCCGCATGCAGCAGCACAATCAGCCCTCTGGGTGTATTACCAACCTCTAGTAAAACAAGGAAAAGGCTCAATGATACCAAGTCTCCATCTCAGTTTTGCAACTAAGTGGCATCAGTATCCTAGACCTCAATTTCATCTGTAAAATGGGGCCAATACTGTGTCTAATATCACGTACAAGAACAGAACATTAAAATGACCTCAGTACATGTTAATAACAGTACTTTACTTTTTTCCAGTATTTTACAGTTTATAAAGTGCTTCCCGTGCATTATATCATTTAATACAACACTGTGAGACAGGAGTCACTTTATAGAAAACAGGTACGTTTGTGTCCCTGTGCATATATAAACACACATACACACAGAGACACGAATGTATGTGTAAAAAAATCCACCAAACCTATCTTGACTTCTAGGAAATATTTCAAGTGAAGAATAAATGACACCCAATGAGAATAATGGCACCAGACTGGGTGTAGTGCTGCCAGTACCGTTCACACTAGTACTAACAACACCCAAGTAGCCACATCAATTCACAAACTAGCTTTCCACAATGCTGCCCTCATTCCCAGTAACAGAGGATGCCAAAAGCTAAGGAAAACAGTATGCTTTCTTCCTTTGCTTCATTGGTTGTGATCACACCACGTTATACTTACTTTTAAGTCAGGACGCTCCTTCATTTTTTTGGGCTTCTTCTCAGGAGGACCCTTAAGCTTCTCCTTTTCCTGGTTCCGCTTAAGCCGCCTCAGTTGTTCTTGAATCCTCCGCCGCTCTTTTCGCATCTCTTCTCGATGCTGTTCATCAAAAAGGGCAAATTTTCGACTGAATAACAGGGGAGGGGGGGAAATCACAGGACCGTAAGCAAACCTAAACCAAGAAGATTGTCTTTATAGCTAACATCTCAGAATTAAAGTAATCCATCCAGGCTGAAATAAAAGGGGCTACCACCTGCCATTCCCATCTCCCTAATCAGTTAGCACTCCATTTGCAGAGAGGCACCTCTTTCGGAGTAAGTCCTGAGTAATCCCCAAGATTTTTGCAAATCAACCAATCAAAATGCAGAGAAACCAGATGGAACTAGGCATGGCTTTATTATGTGGCAAATACAAAATTTTCTCTGTGATTTGGCTCTGTTCAAACCCAAAGATCTAAAGGTAAGATGGTTTCCATTTACAGCAAAGTTTTAGGGACGTCTGTGAAGAATCCTGTCACTAAAACTCAAAGCACTCACTGTCTATTCCCCACCATTATTACTATTCTCCCTATCACATTTGAAAGCGGTGAATCAAACTTACATGAATTCCTCATCTTTTGTGGTCCGTATGCGCACATAGGCATCAATGACAGCTGGTTTTCGGACCGTCTCACAGCGAACGTACTCTTTCCCCTCTTCATCTCGAAATGTGCGATAAATCTTTAGACAGCGGCCAGTGGCAGAAGAGTTAAGGCTAGTCACAGAAGCTGTATCATCATCTCTGTGATTGTTTCCTGATGCTGCTGAGCCTGCTGCTGCAAGGTAGAAAAAGATTTCCAAACATTCCCGCTACCACCCAAATAGTCGTTTTCTTGGGGTTGAGTGGTGACACTGAAACTCAACATAAATCTATGGTTCTACAGAAAGCATCGGTCACCACCAGCCCCAAGAGTACATTAATTTATCCTTTTCTGACTTCATTTTACCACTGCCAATTTCTCCATTTTTACAAGTACAAAAAGTTCTGAAAGAACCTCAAAGAACTATATGTTTGCTATAGGAGACAGAGAAACAGTAGTGGTATTCTGATGCCTCTGAACAAGGGAAGAAAAAAGTCCAAGCAGAAAGTAGTTGATGATCACATTAAAGAAAAGCACTCAACCAAGCACTTGGGGGAAAAATGACAACACAGAAACAAGTGCAGAGCCTTAAGGCCTAGCATATGCTTCTTAAACTTTAATATAAATAGGAATCACCTGAGGATCTTAGTAAAATGTAGGTTCTAATTCAGTAGATTTGGAGTGAGGCCTGATATTCTGCATTTCTAACAAATCCCCATATGATATAGATACTGTGGTCTATGACCACACTAGTAAAGATCTAGAGGACCACATTGGTGGAAGGACTGTATCTCATCTTTACAAAGTAGCCAGAAAAATAAAATAGCACAAAACTTTTACAGAAAGGAGGAAATAAAGGGAAGACTACTGTGAGTGAGAATATTCATTGAAATCTTCGTCTTTAGCCTTTATTCTCTCTTCCTAGTATCTACATCTAAATTTTCAACTGTCTACTTGACATCTACACTCGAGTGTCACGGGGAACTAAAACTCCACACATTACACATTGTCTTCCTAAACCTGCTTCTTTCTCTGAAATTTACTACTTTAATCAATGATACTAACATCCTTCTAGTAAGCCCGGAGTAAAATCTTAAGGTAGCCTGATTTTTTCCCCTTTTGATCCCCAATGTCCACATCCCAACCCAATTCAGGCCTTTATCATCATCCCTGCCCGCAAATTCTGCAATTTTTGGCTGGTGATTCTGAACTCTTTTTAGGGTCTAAGACTCCTTTAATAATCTTCTGAAAGCCATGAATCTTCTCAGAAAAAGCACATTTGCATAGAATTTTACATGTAATTTCAGAAGGTTCAAGGACAACTCCCCAAATTCATCCACAGATTCTGTATTAAAAACTCTTACTCTCTAGGATGAACGCCCAGAAAGCTCATTTGAAGTACAGCACTGATAGCCCTGGCTTGGCCAGGCAGTAGTAGATTGATAGCATCTCTTCAATTTGTCCCCCAAAGACAAACCTAGAGTCCTGTTTGCAGAAAGCTCTCTACTTCATCTATAGGCTTTTCTACACTCATCTCCTGCTTCTTCTGCCTCCAGCTTTGCCTCAGTTATAGTCTGCAGTTATTTACATTCCTTTTTCGATCCTTTTCTTTCTTGTCTGTCTGTGAAGCCACTACCCTCACCGAGTAGCATCCGCTGTAGTTCCTTCCGCTCCTGCTCCTCTCGCTCACGGGATAGCTGAGAGCTGGTTTTCTTATTCTGCAACATGTTCTCGATGTTCTTTCCCATTTCTTCAAAGTCACTATCTTCAGCTGAGCTGCTGTCCGTGTCAGTTGATAAGACTTCAGTTGATGACAAAACCCTAAAAAGAGAAAAAAACAATGTTAAATTAAGACCAGGAGATATACAAAAGTGTGGAAAGAGCTAAGGAAATATGGTTGCAGGAAAGAGTAGAAAATCGGAAAATCTACCTCAAAAAGGCACACTCAAAATCCACGAAGACATGGGGCCCTTAACAGAAAAGCTTTACAAAGTTTTCCTAAATATTTAGTCAACAAGGCAAGTTTGAAAAATTACAGTAACTCTTCAGAACTCCTACAGAAAACTTGAGAAACAAATCAGCCCACTGGTCATTTTCAATAGCACATTACCATCCTCTCACAACTAAACCTTCAGAAAAAACCCTATCTGTCACCTGTTCCTACTGTTCCGGCTGTCGGGCCCAAGTAGGCCATAAGAGTCAACATGGAACCTAGAGCTCAAGCCTAGAGCCTCTTTCCATTTAAAACGTTTGCCAAGTTGCTTTGAAGGGAACAGGTATTCGAGTGGTACTATTACAACAGCTACTACCCTGTCATCACAAATATCTGACCACCTAGTCATGTTTTTAGATTACCTCCTCTTCATTATAAAATAGTGTCTGGGACCCTTCCCTTTTCCAGCTTGGATTTTCTTTTTTTGTTTGTGTGTTTTTTGATTTTTTTTACCCGCAGCCACGCCCAAGAAGCCTTGAGCAAGTGGACTCCCCAGCTTGGGCTTTCTATAGCACTAAAACACACTTGTTCTGTAGGTCAAAGATGCGCTGACATTCTTCTTTATAACGTTCCTGATGTTCCGCCACAGAAAACCTTGATCCACGGGCAAATTTACTCATGGGCCCCTCTCCAGAGCGAGCTTGTTCTGTTGACATTGTGCGCACCACATCAATCACTTCCCAGCGGGATAACTTTTTAATCTACAAGACAGACACACACACAAATAAATACAAATGTACAAATCATTCAGTGATTTCCAAGGACAAACCAACCCCACACAATTAGAGCTAGACCAAAAAAGAAAAACCATCCCAAAGCAGATTAAAAAGCTTTGGGAAATCTAACTCCTAAAAAAGTATCCAAGACCCAGCATACTACAAAGTTCTCCAGATTATTCTTTACACCTGCCTCCTTGCATTTCCCTCTCTATACACAGTCCCTAGGAACCTCTAAGTTTTTATCTTCCATACTCACCTCTTCCTCTGGCACACCAAATTTACGTAGAAGCTGCTTGGCATTTTTCAAGGAAAGGCGACGGAGGTCTGCATCAGTTCCTGTCACTGTCTTCTTCACTGGCTGAGGCTCCTTATCATCCTAACTCAAACAAAAACAGGTGAGAATCCTAAGAAACTGAACTCCTTATAGTAAACATCTAAGTCATTCTGACAATTTAACCACTTTCCAGGTCCTCCACCCACCTCCATTCATCTCCACTCAACCTCCACTTCTTCCTCCCTTGAGTTTCTTCTTCTAGAAATTCAGACAATCTTACCTTCTGCTGTGTTGGTTTGTTTGGAATCTTCACATAGGAGAATCCTTCACCACACCCTGTGGGATCTGCCACCCCAGTCACCTCTAGGAGACACTTGCCCTTCATGGCAGCAATGAAGGCCCTTGTGGTATTCCACGGAGCAGTGCGAACCTGAGGTACAGAAAAAGATTCTCAGGCCTGTAGGAAACATTTGCTCTATGTCTAGCCATTACCTAGAAGGGCAAAATAATTATAATGAACAGTTTCATGCTTTCTTAAAGTGTTCACAAAGATCAATAATTAAATATGGCTGCCTAGTACTCGGTTCTCTTCTTTGTATGATACTTAAGTCATGGCGGTAAATAGAGGCCAAGAGTTCAACCAGGGTAAGGAGAAATATAAGGAACAGTAATATCCTTCAGCCCCATATCCCTTGGACTTCACTAAGCAGTCTCAAGTAAAGTGTTTTCCCCTACCCTCACAATGTTCAAAATTAGACTGATGACTGCATTTGATTATCCAATTGCTCGAACAGCTTCTTTAGAATGATCTATACATTCTCAAAATTAGATTATATGCATGCTTTCAAAGCACTGGTCCCAAGCCTAGCAGCACTAAATCAAAGTCCATTATTCTGTCTCTGCCACAGGTTTGGTCAAAAAGGTTTGTCCTCTCCTGGGACCTTGAATAGTGTTTACCTACCCCACAAAATAATTAAGAGAAATAAGACAAAGGAAAAATGTGCTCACAAACCAGTCAAGAGTATACACAATTAGCTAGAAAATGGACAATTCTTTATTCAAGACTCAATCCTGAAGGCCATTAACAGAATCCTTAAATTCTGAGACTCTTAGACATCCATTCATTTTTCATTCCAACCGTGAAAGAGTAGTACAACAATGCTTTGCTCATTCTCTGCTTTTTACAATCAGTTACTTGTTTAACAAATATTTATTGAATACCTACTACATGTGAGGCACTACCTTCTCATGAACCTCATGTCAGTGAGGAAAAAACCAAATAGCCAACCAAGTTCAATGTTATATTATTAATGTCATGATAAGAAAGTGAAGGGTGCTGGCTGGGGATGGTGCCTCATACCTATAATCCCAGCAATTTGGGAGGCCGATGGAGGAGGATTACTTGAGGCCAGGAGTTCAAGACCAGCCTGGGCAACAGAGCCAGACCCTATCTCTACAAAAAAATCTTAAAATTAGCGAGATAGTCCCAGTTACTCAGGAGGCTGAGACAATAGGATTGCTTGAGCCTAGGAGTTGAAAGCCACAGTGAGCTATGATCCAGCCACTGCACTCCAGCCTGGGCAACAAAGTGAGAACCTGAGACCATGTCTCAAAAAAGAAAAAAAAAAAAAAAACCAAAAGAAAGAAGTAAATAAAGGGTGCTACACGTACATAAAGAAAGGAAGGATTATCATCCCATCCTAACCCCAGGGTGAGAATGAGGAAAAGCTTCCAAGAGAATATAATTTACAGATGAAGGTCAGATGGAAAGGGAGTAGAGAAAAAAATATCCCAGGCAGAGGAAATAACGGTTGCAAAATTCTGGAAAGCAAGAGAAAGAAATTCAGGGAACTGAATGAACTTCAGTATTTTTGGAGCTTAGAGTATAATATGGGCAATGGGCCGGGCGTGGTGGCTCTTGCCTGTAATCCTAACACTCTGGGAGGGCGAGGTGGGAGGATCGCTCGAGGTCAGGAGTTCAAGACCAGCCTGAGCAAGAGCGAGACCCTGTCTCTACTAAAAATAGAAAGAAATCAGCCAAACAACTAGAAATATATAGAAAAAATTAGCCGGGCATGGTGGTACATGGCTGTCTGTAGTCCCAGCTACTCGGGAGGCTGAGGCAGAAGGATTGCTCAAGGCCAGGAGTCTGAGGTTGCTGTGAGCTAGGCTGACGTCACGGCACTCACCCCAGGCAACAGAGTGAGACTTTGTCTCAAAAAAAAAAAAAAAATGGTGGGCAATGACAGGAGATGAAAGAAGGTTAGAGTTATATGCAAGCACCAAATCATGCAGAGTCTTATAAATTATATTAAGGATTTTTCTAAAAGAAGAGAGGATCCAGAGAAAGTTCATGGGCAGTAGAATGAAATGATCAAATATTGGGGTTTTCCATCTTTCTTTCTTTCTTTTTGTTTTTAATAGAGACAGGGCCTTACCCTGTCACCTAGGCTAGAGTACAGTGGTGTCATCATAACTCACTGCAACCTCGAACTCCTGGGCTCAAGCGATCCTCCTGCCTCAGCCTCACCAGCAGCTGGGACTACAGGTGTGCACCACCACATCAGCTAATTTTTCTTATTTTTTGAAGAGATGGGGTCTCGCTCTTGCTCAGGCTGATCTTGAATTCCTGGCCTCAAGCGATCCTCCCGCTTCGGCCTCCTAAAGTGTTGTGATTACAGGTATGAGCCACTGCACCTGGCCAAATGTTTGTTTTCACAGATAATTCAACTGTTTAACAAATGGCACTGGAATAATTAGACGTTCATATTTTGAAAAACAAACTTTAGCCCATACCTTGCACCCTATACAAAATTCACTCAAAATAAATCTAAATGTAAAATCTAAAACAATGAAACTTTTAATAAAAAACATAAGAAAATCTCTGTGACCTTAGATTAGACAAAAATTTCTTAGATACAGCACCAAAACCACAAGCAACAAAAGAGAATATTGAGAAACTGGACTTCATAAGACACTGTTAAGACAATTAAAAGACAAACCACAGATTGGAAGAAAATCTTTGCAAATCAGATACCTGATAAAGGACTGACACCTAGAATAAGTGAAAAACTCTCAAAACTCTGTAAGAACACAAACAACTAATTAAAATAAAAATGGACAAAACAGATGAACAAACAGTTCATCAAAAAAGATATATGGATGATGAATAAGTACATGAAAAGATGTTCAACATCCTCAGCCATTAGGAAAATGCAAATTAAAACCACAATGAAGGCCAGGCACGATGGCTGACACTCAGGAGTTTGAGACCAGCCTGAGCAAAAGCAAGACCCTGTCTCTACTAAAAATAGAAAATATTAGCTGGGCACAGTGGCATGTGTCTGTGGTCCCAGCTACTTGGGAGACTAAGGCAGAAGGCCAGGAGCTGGAGACTGCAGTGAGGTAGATTGCGCCACTCTACTCTAGCCAGGGCAATAGAGCGAGACCCTGTCTCAAAAACAAACAGGCCAGGCACCATGGCTTATACCTGTAATACTCTACTCATACTCTATCCAGGGCACCACTGCACTCTACCCAGGGCGACAGAGGGAGACTCTGTCTCAAAAACAAACAAACAAAAATCACAATGAGGGATCACTTCACACCCACTAGGAGGGCCATAAATTAAAAAAAAAAAAAAAGGAAATAACAAGTCTTGGCAAGGATGTGGACAAACTGGAACCCTCCTACGTTGCTAGTACGAATATAAAATGGTTTCCTTCACTGTGGGTCTCAAAATGAAAAATAAAA